GAAATGCAGCGCTACATGCACCTGCCAGAGCTCACAAGCTTCCTTCCCCGTGGAGGCAGAAAGGAAACTGAAATGCTCTGGGGTGTAGGTGCGGGGATTTGGTGAGCTACATGTCACTTCAGCTATGTCCGAGCTGAAGCCTGCAAGGTGGCGGGAAGCAGGATAGGAATCAGAGCGATGGGCATTTTTACTTTTTCCAAGTACAGCGGCGCCAGTGCTTCAAAAAGCACCCGTTGCTGCGACGCTTGCAGTTGTGTAAGTGGTGAAATGCGCATCAGCATTGAGAAAATGGCAGCGGCACGCCTTTGAGCTAAAACACCTTGAAGGTGCTTGAGTCCAAGAGCACGCCGCCGCCATTTCCTGCGTGCTGATGCACATTTTGCCACTTTTACTGCACATGGCGCAGCAGTTGGCCTCAGCTTGTGTGCAGGGCAGACTTGATTAATCGAGTCTGCTCAGAAGCGGTGGGTCTCTGGTGAGACGCCAAACAAAAAAGTCTGTGTATAAATGCCCAATATGATTACAAAGCCTTCCCTCGTGGATTTTTACTGTTACAAAAAACTCATCCATGCCACTGAGATTCAGGGTGGCTAGCCACCAATATGCCAAATTCATCTCTGTAGTTTTAAGTTACTTCCTTGGTGGCTCATGAGATACCATTTAAGTTGTGAAGTCAAAGGCAGTTAGCCACAACATTTTAGTGTGTACCATTGGCTGTTAAATCTGGTGTGCTTTAACCATGGTAGTTTGATGGGCTGTTAAGCCCAGTGGGCCTTTGGCCATAACTGCTTAGATGCTGGGGCGGGTGGGGGGGCAGGGATGCAGGAAGGGGGCTCGAAGATACAGAGGTGCTTTGTGTAGGGGCTCTGCACAGGTGTCAAAGGTATGGACTCCAGGAACCACACCCTCAGCTGGTATATACTGATGCACAGGCTTCAGTGGAGCACTGCTGATTTATACCAGCTGGGGAGCTAAGTAGCTGTAGTATTTGCCTAAAACGAATAATCAAAATCCAGTAAAAATAAGCATTCAAGAACAAAAACCCAAAGGAGCAATCCTGCTTTAATTTAGAAGGAAGGACAAGGTGACCCATTCTCGGGGTCTTCCCATTTCCAATTATTTTAATCCTCTGATTCCCCGCACTGCTGTACTGTGAAATTCATTTGAGACATCAAAGCGGGATTGTGCATCCAACTAGAATAAACTTACGGTCCAACAAAAGACCTCCCTGCCTTCGCCACCTCCCTGCCTTTCAGCTCAGCATCCTGTGCACTTGCTTAAGAGCTTCATGGAAATAAAGCATCCAATTGGTTCGCTGAGAAATCCGGATTGAGGCTCTTTAGCGGGTTTTTTTTTAAAACCCAAATAGAAAAATCATTTTTCATATATATATTAATAAAAAAAAAATCTGTCATTTAAATCCTGTTCTAGCAATTAGCTCCCTGCACAGCCCTGCTTTAAAGTGCTTGCTTTTCATTGTTTGCTCCTATTCATACCACTGTAAAGTTCATTAAAATCACTGCCGCTATCTCACACAGAACAACTGCTCAAGACATCAGTGTCATTCAGTCAGGAAATTTATGCTTTGAAGTTTCCCTTTTATTCATTTGTATCAGTTTTTTTTTTTAATGGCTAAACCAGTTTTATGCTTTTCACAGTTATTCAGAAATCTGTTCCTCCTGACACCAAGCCGATACATCATCCCTTGCACATATCCCCTTTTTCTCATTTTCATCGTTTCTCTCCTCGCTTGCTCTGGCTCTCTGCTAAGTCCATCACAGCTTTGTTTTTATATCCTCGTTGCTGTATTTTATAGCCCAGTAAAACCTAGAAAGCTGCTTCAGAAAACACACATGCCAGCCCTTTGATGTTTGTATTTGTGTGGCAGCTCGCTGGAATTTGTCAGCACTCACACAGAGACAAAGACTTTTGAACTTGCCTGCTGCTAGAATCAACTGCTGCCAGACATCAGACAGAAGGCAGTGAGCAATGTAACAAAGGCAAGAATAATAATAAAAAAAAGGCAGGTGAAAACTTTCCTCTCTAGGTCCAACGTGTTTTTGATTGAGAAAAATATCATGGCATTGATTTTCAAAGGGCTGAGCTCCGTCCCCAGGACTCCTGTTGCATTCAATAGGACTGGTGTATGTGTGCAGATCTGAGGGGATGGATTTGATCCAAAGGATGCTCTGGTACAGTTGTAATGCTGTGATTTAATGAACTCTATTGCCTTTTCCAGTGTGGTAAGCTCTATGACGAAGTCTGCGAGACTGGTGAAAGGTGGCTGGCACCTCCAGCAAGGAAAGCATATGCCAAATATAGCCAAGGAAAAACGCTCTTGGCTTTCACTTCAAGGTTCCCCCACCCCTAAAAATGAAAAGCAGAGATAGTCACTTGGCTACAGAGGTCTGTGACTGCAGATTGGAAATGGCGATGTCTAGTCCAGGGTCACATCGGTGAATGCTTGTAAAAATAACCAAGATTTGATTGCATGCTGCCCAGGAAAGAAGAACCAGTTAGTTTCCCACCAGTGCACCCTAACAAGAATTTACACGTCTAGTGTTTGACACCTTTCATGCTAAAACCTGAGCATAGTTTAAAGACATCAGCAAACTCAACTTCTTGATAGCCCTATGAAGAAGCTTTATTATCTCTATCTTACAGGTAAAGGCAGAAATTTCCTTGCTTCCTTGCAAAAGTCCAGAAAAGGAAACCTGACTATATCTGCACCAGCAGGTTGTGTGCCAGGGCCTTTGGTAGAGTCACGCTCAGCTGCTGTAAATCCATGAAGATCCAGGAAAGCCAATCAAAAAAAGATCAAAGGTCAAAAATCTACCCAAGCTGAGTAGCTACTGTGGTTCAGGGCACACCAGTTTTTTAGCCAGCAGCACACAAAAGAAAGATGTGCCTAATATCGTGCCCAGATGCCTTTCACTTCCCACCCTAAAGGACCATTTACAGTAAGATCAACTAGAGACAGTCCACACCACAAGTCTAGCAAAAGCTGAAGTCCAGACCTCAGGCACCCTGTCGCCATGCCCCAGTGGAGCACAGAAGTAGCTACAAGCCGCAACCAAGGTTAGTTAGGCTCTATTATTCCTGGCACACAAGAGGCACTATCCCAAAGATCAGGCAATGTCATGCCCTTTTCCTCACACAGATAAAGGATGGAAAGGAAAACTGAGGTATAGAGAGATGAAGTAACCAACTGAAGAGCTGGGCATACAATCCACATCCCCTGACTCTGAAGCCAAGAAGCAAGTGTGAGCCAGCACTACCTGTTTCTGACACTCCTGTAGGGCAAACCCCTTCACAAAGCTTGTTTTTAAGGAGCTTTTTCAGTGAAATATATGTAGGATCCTACGTCGGTCAATCAGCAAACTCCAAGACCAATTTCCAGTCCAGTGCTCTAAACTAGGCGTGTCATACTCACCTTGTCTCCCCAGCTAGATCCAGCCTGGGGGCTTCTCATGGACCAGATCTGGACCTGATGATGGCAAGGTGAGGTTAGTGGTGGCAAGGCATGTGGTGGTGCTGTGAGCAGCTCTCCCCCCCTTGCCACTGAAGTCTGCCACCAATGAGGCCCTGTAGCCCCAAATTCAGAGGCAGAGTCTGCCCCCCAGCTCATCCCCATCTCCCCCAGAACAGGTCAGATCCACCCCACAAGCAGTTTGTTTGACACTTCTGCTCTAAACAGTACCCATTTTCTGCATAAAAATGCATGGACTTGAATGGGCTTGGATTAGCCCCTCTAATGGTATGGATTATCCATATTTTCTACAAAATTATCTATATAATTACTATAAAATAAATTCTGTCCTAAAACATATGATGTATTCATTCCTGGTTTCTCTCTCTCTAGGTCTTACGTATACAATGTAAAAATAACACCATCAAAACCTAACCCAAAAAGTTAAATAATTTTGCACTTTTGCATATTAATCTGTGGGATATGAGGAAACACCCAGCAGAAAATATCTCTGTTTTACAGAGGAGCTAAAGAAACTTCTGTGCTGAGACAGAGCTTGAGACCTTAGCAAATTTTGTTACAATATAACCTGAATGGAGTTCATGTAATAGTCGCCAAATCACAAACTTTTTGTGAATCTGATAATGTTTGCATCTTTCCTCTAAACCTCAGCTTTAAGAAAGGATCATATGAAAATTTCAGCTCTCATTCGGGGGGGAGTACTTTTTTAACTCTTATGAGTGTAAAGAAAAGTTTAAGAATGTGAATTCCTTGAACACTGAAAAAACTACAGAGTTGTTATTTTTTTAATGTAATTTTTAAGCTATCCTCAGGATCTCGGAGACTTGACAAGTTTTGATCACATGCGATTGGCAGCACCACGTGTTAGGTTAAGAGATCGGCTATACCATTCCTCAGTTAAACCAGTCTTAAAAACAGTGCAGGTTCTCAAATAGAAGACTGAGCCTATTGATGTGTCATTTTAGTATTGATGTAGTAACACCTCACAGAAAAGCAAACACTATTTCATCTCCTCTAAGACTGCCTAGAGGGAGGAAGATTGTATCATCCCTTCTTTTTCACATCAGAGCACAAGTTAAATTCAGTTGTGAATTACCTTGTCAGGATTAGCTGAATGCATCTGTAAACTATTTCTAAGAGATACATTATGTCTGTGATTTAGACTCATCCATCTGAAATCAAATTAGAGCCTTAAGAATAAGCCTCGCAGCTCAGGTGATTCAGATGAATGTCTCCTTATAGGTTTTAACCTGCTTGGTGATCTGAATACATGCACATGTGATTGAGCTAGGGCATTGCTAGCTTTCTCCATCTACGTGGTTGTCTGCTGTGACTGATGCTGACTTGGGAGCTTGAGAGGAATTTAATCTCTGATGGCCAAATTTACAGATGAAATAGGCCTCTCTCCCCACAGGCTGTGTCAGTTAAAGATAATCAGAAGTGGTAAGTAATACCTGTAAAAAAGTTTGAAATAAAATGTCCTTTAAAAAAAATCATTAATTTGCTTGGCTTTCAATTGAACAAAACTACATGAAAAATATTCCATTTTCTGCTCCCTTCCCTTTTTTCTGTCTTGTCTTTTCTTTCTTCCCTGTGGAAAAAGATCATATTTTTTTTAATACCATAATCTTATCCATATGTCTAAATTATGAAAAATAACACATCTCATTGATGTTGAGTGTTTAGGCTGCTTGTTTCCTCTCTTGTATGCCAGTCAGCCTGGTCTACTTAACACAGGCATCATGGATAGCAAAAGCCCCCACTTCAGCTAGAAAGAAAAGCGGGGTTTCTGTATAGAGGCCTGGGTGTTAGGTTCCTGATTGTTGCAGTGGGCAAGTCATTCAGTGTCAGATCCACTTCAGCCTTGTAGGTGACTCCATTTAGGTTTTAGCACACGTAAAAAAAAAAGCAGGGTGTTGCCCCACAGGGTGATCCAAATAGAGCAGTGGTCTCCAACTTTTTAAGTAGGAGATCACCTTTGGCATTTAAAAGCAACCCAAGCTCTACCGTGCACTGCTGCTCCCTCCCTCCCCACCCCTTCGCCCAGCAGGTAAGTCTGTGGGGAAGGAAGGAGGGGGCAGACTGAGGAAGAAAGAGAAAAAATTATTTGGGGGCGCACCTGCCCAGCAGGTAAGTCCCACCTGGCCGGAGCCCCACTCAACTTACCCCTGCTCTTGCCTCTGTGGCACTGTCCCTCACCACAGGGGCTTTGATCTAGCCCCCGCCCCTTCCCTCCCCAGTGGACTGACCTGCTGGGCTGGGGCATGTGAGTGCATGTACACAGGCACTCATCCCCCAGCCCCAGCCTCGGATCGACCCCAAGAGGCTCTGAGATCTACTGCAAGAGGCTCCAAGATCTACCAGTGGATCGAGATCCACTGTTTGGTGACCACTGAAAAAGAGTGAAGCACCGAAGTTCTCTATAGAGTCAACAGAGAGAGATATGAACCTCCAAAAGGTGACCCAGAGCAATTAGAGCAGGGGCGGGCAATTATTTTGGGCAGAGAGCTGCTTACCCAGTTTTGGCAAGGTGTTGAGGGCCGCATGGGTAGCCATGCCCCTTGACAAGTGCCCTGCCCCCTGGTCACCATCTTGGGACCAATGTCCCAGGGCCAGTACTGGTGGGGCCCAGAGCAGAGCACAGGCTGGCAGGGGTCTGTGGAGCCAGGCTGGGCTGCACCAGCAGGGAGAGGAGGGAGCTGGCCCGGCTTCATAGAGCCCCTGCCAGCTGGGACCCTATACTCCGGCCACCCTTCTCTGGGCCCCACTGATGCTGGCTCCAGGATACTAGTGAGGGCCCCATGCTCCCGCTCACTCCCAGTGCCCCCAGCCCCCTGGTACAGGCAGGGGGCAGCATGCAGCCCCGACCCCCTGCTCCATGGCAGGTAATGAGCTGGTGCTGAGTGCGGGGAAAAATGGCCCCTCACCCTCCCTGCAGCTGGTGCTGCCTGCTGCAGCAGCTCGCAGCCCATGCGGGGCTGTCCTGAGCAGGCACAGGCAGCCCCACACGGGCTGCAAGCAGCTGCAGCAGGGAGTGTGGGCCATGGGGCAGACAAGGGGCTGCTTTTCCCCAGACTCCTTCCCTGCCCGCAGTCCACCCCTGCCCTCACCTGAGTTTCTGGCACGGTGTAGTCACATGGTCCCAGGCCAGAAGCCCCTGTTGGGGCTTCCGGCTGGGGAGGCAGGGCTGGGTAGGCCCTATTGTTGCAGGAGCCCACCGGGCTTCCCCTGGGTCCTACTGCCCTTGGTTTCTGTTATTTTTGACAGGAACCAAGGACAGATCAATAGCCATGTTCTAAATTTTTTAGGGGCCCTGTGGGCCAGATAGAATGGCCTCGCAGGCCGGATCCAGCCCACGGGCCATATTTTGCCCACCCCTGAGTTAGAGCTAGTCAAGACGAAACACCAGATGCCTGAATGTGTCTGACCTCCAACCCCCCTCTGGAGCGTAGCTGCCTCCATCAATTCAAGACCAAAAACACCCAGAGGGAAGACATGGTAGCAGCACCCGCCTTTCGTTTAACAGCTTAGTGAGTAGAGCACTCATTCAGGACATTCAAGCTCTCCTTAGCCTGAGGGGATTCAGACCCATTGTTCAAGCAGGGTTTCCTAAGCAGCAAACTACAGTGGGAGCAACCTACACCCTTCCTGTTGAATCTGGTCTACTGACCAGGCAGAAATGCTAAAGGCATGGACACCGAAGGAGAGCAAGCAAGAGAGCATGACTGTAGCTCAGTGTTGAGTGGGGAGGAAGGAAACCAGGGTTCTGGTCCCTACTACCAGGGTTATTTCTGGTTTTGGACCAATAATTGGCAAGTGGAAAATGCATAACCAGCCCAGGCACCAGGGCCTACTACCAGGACTCCAAATTCTTAGCTGAAAGCTCAGATACATAGCTATTATGTCAAAAGTGGGTGCCTCTAGTCTAGGTGCTCTGGTTGTCAATGATAGATGCTGGAGTCAGGGCTATACAGGAAACCCATCTAAGTTCTGAGGAAAGCCAGGAGTACAGCCACCCTGCTCTGCCTATAGGCTGGTGTTGCTTGTTCAAAATATAGATGCTCCCTCTGCCACTGCTCTCAAGCAACATTAAAGACATTGAGTGGGAGCCCTCCAAGAGACTTTAGCCCTTCAATTTTGGGCTTGACATGTTCAGAGCAGGAGCGGGTGCATGAGATGTGCTTCTCCAAGGCTGGCCTGGGACCACCGTGGAAGTAGTCTAGCCATACCTTAAAAGGGCCAATATGCTACTTAAGCTGATCCACTGTAATGCCCTAAATAGTAATTTTGCAATAATTTTCCCATAATTTCCCCTGATTGAGCAGCTCCCAGTTTCAGCAAGCAACCTACTTTCTGAGGCTTCTACCAGTTTCTAATCACACTCTTTCTGGGTTTTAAGTTCTTAGTTGTTATCACAAACCTCTTCAGTTTGGATTCCCAAAGCAGCAGGGGTTCCTTTTCAAAGACCAGTTGAAAGAAAATATAAATAATACTTCCCCCTCTCCCCTCCTCCCCCCGCTCTTTGACTAGAAGTATTATCTTTTATAATAACAGAATCATGCAATAGCAGAAAAGGAAATCAGTACAAATCCATGAAAATGTTTCTACTCTTGGTATGTTTGCTAATTTTAATGGAAACTTAAAATACTGGGCAATGCTATTTCCTTTTAACTCCTTCAGTGCCCCAGGAACAAGTTGTGGGCTACATCTTCAGCTGGTGTAAATCAGAATTGTTCCACTGAAGTCTATTACTTTTTACCAGCCCCATGATAGGGCCCGTCCACAAAGTCAAGATAAAATGCGCCCCATCTTCCTTATAGACACTGAATATATGTAAGAACTAAGGGGCAGACTGTGATTTGGACTATATGCTTGTGCCAGTGAATACAAGGAAGCAAGATCCCACTTATTTTCTGTGCAGGCAAATTAACATTGGGTTCACAGATGTAAACATGAGATGCATACTCACTTATTGCCTCTTCTCCCACAGGAACTGGACAGGACCCTACTTCTCCCCCTCCTCACAAGCCAGTGCTTTTAGTTCAATGCAGAGATGACATAATTTTTTGCTGTTGGAGAACAAGAAATTCATCTATAAAGTCTCTATAACAAGGTGGATGCAGCTGAGAAATAATGACGAGTGTATTTTTGAGTCATAGCAACTCCTTCGACTCGATCAGGGCTGGGAGGATGCAGCTTACATGGTCCTTCTTGTCCAAGGATGAATTCAGAGACAATCTTTGACTCTAAAATCTCTATGTGCCTCTCTGCTGATACGCTCTGCATAGACCTTGCTGTGCGTGTGGCACTTCAGGGGTTAATTTTAGTTTGCTGGCACAAATATACTACTTCAGTTTACAATAGTTCATGGCTTTTTTTTCCCCTCTTGAGGATATTCTCCAGGAAGCTCTCGAAAAAGCCTGAAGGCAGGGTGGTGGGGGGCAAGCAGTGGAGGGGAGGGAAGCATGTTTCATGGGACTAAGTGAAGTGCTGTGATCAAGATTAGAGCAAGTCCTTAATAATGCCTGAGAGAAGGCCTACTGATGGGCTGAAATGCCTACACCAGGCCTGATCTGTGACAGGATGGAAAGGTTTCTGCTCTGGTTATCATCATCCTGGTTTGGGTCCTAAATGTTTACTTCTCATATGTGGAAGCCTGTGGTTTGGGTTCCCTTACGGCATACGTTGATGGACAATGGAAAATTTCCAGACTATGCTGGAATCCAAAATGAAACAGAGACACCCTCTGATTTATAGAACTATGCAATGCAGAGAAAACTGTACAGCTCGAACCCCCCCACCCACGCCGTTCCTGCTCTCTCCATCACCCCGTGCTAATTCATTGCGAAGTCTCACCCAGAGATACTGCCTCTGGTAGGAAGAGGTAGGCTTAAATCCACATTGTCAGCACCCTTGTGTGAGGTCTCTGATAGCCAATGTCAACCTAACTTCTCTTCTTCCTCTGTTATCCGATGCTGACTTGTTGCATCAGTATGGTTTTCCTCTGTCAGATAACACAAACCGTAATGTCAATCCCATCCCCATGCTGTGCAACTGCAATGTAAAGGGGTGTACTTGGTAGCCGTGTTGATCTGAGACCAACACAGCTACCAAGTACACCCCTGAAACATGGAAGATGCTGAATTTTAGCTGATTTTGGATTTTAAACGTCATTGCAGAACAACAAGGACTTTTTTTGCCTCCCTGCCTGCCATCTGACACCTCCAGGGAAGGAATTCTACCTGATCAACACATCAAACAGCTACTCAACACGGCTCACAAAGACACTCTCATGGACCCAGAGGGACAGCCTTCCATCTTCAGCTCCCTCTGTGCAAAAATGAAGTTTATTTCCTACCTATGGGGACTTTTTACCATCTTGTACCATCTACACTTTTCCCAGAGCCTGAGGAAGGGACCTTGATCCCGAAAGCTTGCAGAAAAGGACAATTTTCTTGCCATTTTCCAGTTGGTCTAATAAAAGGTATCATTTTGGAACCAAAAGTTCTAGTTTTTTGTACTGCAATGTAAAGTCTTCCATAGAGAGAGTCTCCAGCAGATAGCGTTGTCCTTACCCCCACCACTTCATACAAACCAGGTGGAAAGTAAGGTCCTTCCCCTGGGAGATGGGGCTGCTCCAAATACTAAATAATCAATGAAAGCCCTGAAAGTCGATTGATTTATGCTTCTAAATCCCTTAAGTAATTTAGAAAACACACTGATGGTCCTCTAAAATCAGTAGTGAAAGTCCAGTCCTCAGAGATAAGAGGTTTGGCAACACCCAGAAAGAACGCTCCAAAAACCAACCCACATTGTGCTACTTGCTTAAATGCACAGGATTTAATCCATGTTATTCAATCAAACTCACTAAAGTCCATGGAATTGTGGCCTTTGATAGGAAGTCTGGTTTTGGTTCCTCATCCCTACTTCTGGTTTGGAACTGGAGTTTAAAGTGATAACATCTCTGAGAATAATCACACTGATTTTCTACCACACTGTTTATAAAGCCAAAGCAGGCAGCTATCCAGAGAAAGCCACACGGGAACAGTGCGAGAATGAACAGGCTAGGTCCTTAACATATAGAAATGGAACATAAAACAGAGACAGAGAGTTAATTCAGCTATATACTAGGTTGCAATGTAACTTCTCCTTTCCCAGCATTGTGGATTAAGAGGCACTAATAATATTGTCTCTGCTGGTGACTCTCAGCTTTGCATCCTGAAGTTCATTCTGCTTGTGATTTTTCATAACTGCTAATCTTTGCAAAATGTTCTGTTATTTCAGGGCAACAGTCATAAGAAAGCATGTGGATTAGGTCTAAGGGAGTCTTTTATCACCTTGCTATATGTATGTAATTCCCATCGTGGTCAGTTAAAAAGATGCAAAGATAACTGGGTATTTGAATATATACGTTGCAGTAATTGTTCCAGGGTTTTTTTAATTACAGTCAGTGGGAATTTTCTCAGAAAAGCATTGAATACAGGTTCAGACTTAAGTCTAAACCTGTCAAGTAAACCAAATTAAGGTCACAAGAGCAGTTCTAACACTGGCATTTCCTAACCTTTTGAGTATTTGATTTTGGAGCTTTAGAAGTCCCTTTAAGGTACATTTCAGTGTGTTTGAATTTGTGTGTGCATAATATGTGTGTGTAATACAACGGACCCCAGATTCCTTGCAGGCTTAGGTGCCTTAGCCCCCTGTAAAAATGAAGGTTGGTGAACTAGCCAGGAGTATAGAGCCACAGCAAACAGTTGTGCAGGACTGCTGAGGTGCTCCAGCTGTTTGCTATAGCCTTTGTTTCAAAGAGAATTGCTTCTCCAATCAGTTGCCGAGGACTGCAGCTGTGCTCCAACTGAGTGGAAAAGTGGCACCCTTTGAACTAAAACCTGCAGGAATAAATTGTGCTGCTTGTCTGTAATTTGGTCACTCACTCTGAATTAAGCAAATTGCAAAGACTACTCCTATACAAAAAAATCCAGGTTCTGTTATATACATGTATATATCCTTGTGCTTGCCTCCAAAGCCTAGGTCATGCTTCTTTCCCAATAAAGCTTTAAAACCCAAACAGAAACATAGCACCCAGAGGCAACCCTATAGTAACAAATGAGCAGGGGCACTCTAGCAAGCACAGGCCACTTTTCAATAATAAAATAAGATGCATATAATGGAAGCAGGGAGAAAAGCTGTCTGCGAAGAAAGAGGTTTCTTTTTCAAGCTTAGAAAGGTTTCTTACGCACATAAATAAATCTTGTGGCCATGTCTTTTAGGTCATGATGCTAACAGTCTCCTTTGCTTCTGCTCCCTCTTCCAGTAGTTGTGGTTTCTTTTTCATACAATGTTTGTTCTACCTCAAGTTTCATTCTGGCCCATAGTTGCTCATACAAAATGACAGGAACAAGTAAACCACATGGCAGGGCAGTTTCCAGTGGGGAAAAATATACACTTTGACTAAGAGCGAGTACCTAGACTTTTTATGACAGTCCTGAGTATAGGAGGCTCCAAACACCATTCAGAAAAGCAATACGAAGAACTAGTTTCCGGTTGTTTCTTGCTCCATTTCCCCCCCTTTCCCTTTTAAGAGTTCAAATAGTAAATTGAGTACTTGTGTGAGATGAGGGCTGAAAACACACTGCCATCTTTGTGGCATTTGGAGGGTGTGTAATGCCCACGGCTGGCAGATAGATGCAGACTGGCTATCCTGCATGCTCCAGAACTTGCATGTAAAACAGTCCTAGGTCTACAGGGACATCTTAAATCTCCATTCTCATTGCACATATAAATCTGATTTCTATATAAATCAATATAGTGAATACTGCACTCAGGGCCACTTCCAATATCATAACCTACCTCCCATAAGAAACTGCTCTCAATCATCCCTCTGTCATTTCTAGTACAATGCTTTTGACCTTTGAAGACCAACCTCTCTTAAGCTACTGATTATGACTGGTCCCTTCAGTCATCCTGCATTTTCACTGCAGTCATGCCAGTGTTTTTCTTGTGAAAGAATCTCTCACTCATACTGGGATCAAGACAGGATGACACTCTCAGCAAAATATGAGGGCGGCAGAACATTGATGCTTCCTGAATCCCCACCGGGGTGACAGTTCATGGGTCAACTGAGCTAAAAATGTCATGGACCCAGCAGACCATGTGTGGGTCAAGGACTGCCATTTGCATCCCATCAGGGCTAAGCTGAGAACCCCAGTTCAGGCATAATGCTGCACAGTTGTCTACTGCTGAAGTGGGATTTTGTGTATTCTGTTTTATGGAGCATTTTAATCTTCTAGGAAGGTGGCTCCTCAGTATCTAGATATTTTTCCAAGCAAGTATTTGGACCTATTGAAATTAATCTATTTCAATTTAAATTACTCTTATATTGAATGGAATAATTGTTCTTCCATTCTACTTCAAGGCTAAAGGTGACTGACTTAAAGGTGATTATCTGTTGTTAATAGCCTGCATTAGTGAGCAAGATGTCAGCATTACCTTTGTAATCCTTCCCCATACTTTAATGTTGCTATTAGTATTAACATTGCTCTATAAAATATACTCTTTC